GCAGCATATTAGACATTCTTACATTAGGCGATGAGGCTGTGCAGCATTCGGGCAGGCCAGCAGCCCTGATCGAAGACCACCACCAATTGATGGTGCTATAGCCGTTCGGCGATTGTCCGTCAGCATTTGTTGCCACGCGCATCGTTTGGAGGTTCCTATGGGACGTCGGACATGCCCCAAGTATGCACAGCGCCTGGCGCGCCCCAACTGCTGGGGCGGCGGATTACCTTGTACGGCGCTCGCGTGTGCAAGATAAAATCTCACCTACAGCACCACGTGCCAGAGAATTTGTCAAGTTTTGGATTGAACCTCAATTGTTTTTCCAACGAGCGCAGGCTGAAAATAGTAAAGAGCGTTGCCAAGCACATGCCGCATTTACGCGACAAATCCCAGCCTATGATTTGCAGGATGCTACTCGACTTAGAGGAACGCATCACGCAGGCCCCCTGTGTTCCCAACGTGCTGAAGGCACCGCAGGACGCACCGACGCTGCTGGATTTCTTCCCCATCGGCCAGAGGCCGAGCTCCGTAATGGCATCCAAATCAATGAATTGGCGCGGGGGAGGGCTGGTGGTAGGTAATTTCTTTTCATTTCGCGGCGTCGGGGGCCGCATTTCAATGTATCAGGCGGTCGGGTTCGCACAGGCAATTTATTCTCTGAACGTGGACAGCAATCGGTTTTTCGTTGTTGCCAGGCTGCTCTCTCCGACAAGAAATGCCCCGCATCTTTACGAGTTTCCCGACCTCCCCTGCGCGCCCTGCCCGATTGAAGGCGTGATCGACGTGCATGCGGTCGTCTTTGATTCGGGCAAGCTTCGGCCTTTATTCCGATCCGTGTGATGCGTCGCTCCACCGCGGTGGATGCGCTCGCCCGCCTTCTCCTTCCTCTCCTTCTCCCTACCTGGCCGCCCCTCCACTCCCCCCCGCTACACCCCCTCCTTTCTCCTCCCCCTCCTCTCCCCCCCCTCCCCCCCGCCCCTCCCCACCCTCCCCCCCCCGGCGTTCGCAGCGGAGATTTTGTCCGACACGCGCGTGGCAGGGCGCCCGTCTCCGCCGCCTCACGCGGCCTGGCGTGCGGCTCGGGGGGGGCGGGCGGAAGCAGGGGGATAGCTCCTAGGAGCGGGCGCGAGGGGCGGGGGTCGAAGTGGAAAGGAGACGGGGAAGGGAGACCTCGAAACAAAGAGAATGTGATATCTCAACATGCGGCGGGGTTTCCACCCTCGTAGGCATTTCTCAAGACCTGACCGTTTTTGGCATCGCAATACTGCGAGGCTTCGCCCACGCAACGCGTGCCCCTGGGTCGAGCCCATGGAGCCTGCCAACGGCGCCCTCGACAGCGCCCGCGTGCAGGATCGGACCCCGCATTATCATTAGCTTCCCCTCTCCTTCCTCCCTCCCATTGCTCCTTCTATCAGCTTCCTCCCCCATCCTTTCCCCGAGCCCCAGCCAGGTAAGGGAGGGGGCATGAGGCCTCCATGCCCTGGCAGGTGCTCGGGGAAATCTGCATAGGAGTCGGCGCCCGTCCTCCCCATCAAGATCGCCGTGCACTTTTCGGAGGATGTCGAGATTATCGTTTTCGAAGTCGCTCGGCTTCGGCGGTGGCCTGAGTACCCTAAGGATCGGATCACGAAGGCGGCCGCGCGCGTGTACTTCGGGCGCCGCACACGGAGGGCGGGCAAGCGCCAGCGGGCGCCGATGAGTGACGAAGATAGCATTTCGGGGGTCCGAAGGCGGGGGCCCGAGGGAATGGGCCCTGAGGGCGAGGGGGCTCATGCCATGGCATTGATTCTCGATGTCGCGGCACCCCTTCCCGCCTCGAGGACGCATCCCTCGTAGATCCCGCGCTCGAACCTCCGAGCATGCACTTGCGCAAAGCGAATGGCCAGCCGAGTATGGGGTGCATTCTATGCGGGGCGCTTTCGCACCGTTGCAAGATGTGCGACGAAGGTTTCAAAATGCCTCGCTGGATGCGACGCCGAAGTGAAGGAGGGATGAATGGGAGTGAAAAGATGGGAGGGGACCAGGGGATGGGGAGAAACGGATGAATAATGCCCACTCGGCCCTCACGCCACAGCGCTGCGGCGCTCGGCACCCGCGAAGCTGTGGGCATGCCATCGCTCGCGGTTTATGTTGTTTGACTTGCGTCTGGGGTTGCAGTCTCCATCAGCAAGTTTATTCAGAATCCTGCGCTGGAGGGGGTTCCAGCGCGCCGTGCGAGGTACCAGTTCGCAGTCTCTGCAAAAAAAAACAACACTAGCTCGATATTCATGTATCCACATCAGGAACGTCTGGGATTATGCCCACCCCCTCAGAAATGGCAATTGCCGATCGCGTTGTTGAGGCTCCGCCCAACTGCCGCGATGGGGGCGGGGGGAAGAGAGGGAGGATGAGCAGGAGGAGGAGGGGGATAATGAGGAGGAGGAGGAGGGGAGGCATCCTGGATAAAATCGCCCGAAAGGTTCCCGTGCCACCGTGCCCAATAATCTAGAGCCCCCTCTTGATTTCTTGGGCCCAAGCTGGAGGAGGGAAGAAGGGGGGAAGGAGGGTCGACGGCGAGGGGGATGGAGAGGAGGAGGTTCGATAGGCGCTGAGGCTCGAGCAGGCGCTTGTCCGATGGAGGAAGACGCCTGGGCCGACTACGGACCGCCCGCAGATGGCCCTCTCGCGACGATCCGTGCCCCCCTGCATAACGGCAGTGTTGCGTCCGCTCAGATCTCACAGATATGGACGAGGCACAAGTGCAAAGTGGCGGTCAGAGATCGCCAGCGCGGACAGGGGCGCCAATTGTTCATCGCGGGCCGCAGCACCAAGCTCAAAGCAGCGTGGGAAGCCACGCAGCAGATCATGCGCCACAACGGGCACTACGGGGCCAGGAAGACAGCAGAACAACAACGGCACCAGAGAGATCTCGAACATCGTCGTCGTCTGAGCCCTAGGACGCCCGTGCCAGCACCGCCCAGACCGAACCCCGTGTGGCTGGCGCCTCATGAGGCAGTTCCCCAGCACGACGCGTGGGCCGAGGAATGCGGTTACCGCCATGACAGCCGCGTCGGTGCTTGGGTACCTTGTGATGAAGGCTGCGATGGTGGAGGAGCCCACCTCCAGCCTCCTCATGTTCGTCGCCCTCCTGCTTATGTTCCTGCCGCTGCCCCCCTCCTCCCCGTGCTCCTCCTTCTCCTCCTCCCCTCCTCCCACCCCCCTCCCCCTTCTCCTCCTCAGCCCTCCTCGTGCGGCAAAACCAAGCATATCACCTTCCCCCATGTGCTCTGCGCCGTGCACACAAACCAGGAAACTCACCGACAGTCAGATTCCGACCCTCCTCGCCCGAGTCATCCTGAGCAGGCCCCACCCCCACTCCCTATAACACTGGGGAGCGGGGCGACGGGGGGGGTCTGCCCAAGATTACTCGGATTAGGGCGGGCTGAATACTGACTGTCGATCGCTGCCCCTCTGCGCACCTCCCCCCAGCGCCCGAGGAGGCGAGGCTGGGCCTGCAGATTCCACGCCGTCCGCTGTGGCCTCTGGCTCCGGCTCGAGTTCCAGCTCGACCTTCGCCAAGGACCGCATTGGAGGGGTGGGGGTAGGGGTGGGAGCGCGGCGCGCCCGCCGTAGGACCCCGCCCTGATCCCTGGGCACCCAGCCTTCATCCCCGCGCTCGCCAGCGTTATGGACGAGGTGGAGGCCCCGCCGCTGGGGTCGTGCAGCGGCAGAGGTGCAGAGGTTGAGCAGAGGAGACGGAGCGGGAGTGGTAGAAGGGCGGGGGCGGAGGTGGTACAGGGGGGAGGGCGGGAGTATATTCACACCGGACAAGTTTAAGGGTACTGGGTACTGTTGGGCGGAGCCTCGGATGTGAGACTCGTGTCAAATTCGTTTTGTGGTACTCCTGGACCACTGCTTGGGCCATGCTTGGGCCCTCTGGAGCCTCGTATGCTGCTGCGGCGTCCCTGGAACATGGGAAGCCCTCCCGTCCACCTCCTGGCCCTCTTGGGGCGGCTGTTGGACTGGGCACTGGGAGGGCTGTTTCCCGCCCCCCAGCGCGACCTCCAGAAGATCTGCGAGGACAAGCCCGTGGCCGAGACGAACTAGCATGAGGCCGCTCCTGCCGCGCCGCGGGATTGGGCGCGCGCGCAGCGTCGCCCGCTGCAAAGTCCCCCCCCTCCTCCTCTCTTCATCCTTCATCCTTCAGTTGCTTGACTCCGACTCATCCCAGTCTGATTCCTGCCAAGTTTCCTCATCCTTCAGTTGCTTGACTCCGACGCACCCCCCCCCCTCCAGACGAGGAGGAGGACGAGGAGGAGGAGGGCGAGGAGGATGAGGGGGGATGGGGGAGGACGAGGAGGAGGAGGGCGGAGCAGACGAGGAGGAGGACGAGGAGGAGGAGGGCGAGGAGGATGAGGGGGGATGGGGGAGGACGAGGAGGAGGAGGGCGGAGGGAGGGAGGAAGGGACCCCAGGAGAGGTTTGTGTAAGTGGCGATTGGCATAGTTGTATACTCGTGGCCCCAAGGGCCCCTATGACCACGGGCTCTTGTTGCTCTTCATCAGGTTTGTGTAAGTTGCGGCAAGGGCTATGTCCAGGGGCTCCTGCTCCAACTGCGCCTCCAACTCCCCCTGGCCTCACCGCCCTTACCAAGGGATATGTCGATCCCTATCCCAGGCTTCGCGGGGGTTTCGAGTGGACCAAAAAAATTGGGGCCCAACCCGGGGATATACGAGGGGGGGCGTCCATCCTCGATAGAGGTGCGTCCGAATAGCCCCATGGGGGTGTATCCCAGGGTTTCCCTCCTTTCTGAGCCGCTCCATGTTTCGCCGAAAAGTCTGGGGTTGGGATAGAAACATCGCCTGCGAGCCCTCTCCTCCTGCTCGGCCGCCATTCTCCATAGTTGTTTGTGGCTCCAAGAGGAGCGCTGGCATCGGAGGCTCTGCCCCACTTGCCGCCAGCATTGCTCGCCAGTTGCCAAGCATGGCTGCCCCCACATCTTCTCGCACCGACGCTCCGCCCATGGCCGCCGAACCCAATGCCCGTGCCCTCAACTGCGTGGAGTGCAAGAAACCATGCCAGGACAAGCCTCATACCGTCAAGGGCCGTGACAAGGACGGCAACGTCACCCGCGTCATCTGCTCCGACTGCAACGGCCTCAAGAAGCGCATCTTCGACCTCAGCCAGATGGAGGACGCCCCAGAAGGGTTCGCGATGGTCAAAGGCGACGAGCGCGCACAGTTCATGGCCGATTGCGCTGGCCTCTATGGCACAGATCTCTTGAATAAGATGCAGGAGTGGACGACGAACAAGACGTCGAAGAGCCGCGAGACCCAGGACGGCGAATACGGCGACGCGATGCCCGTCTGCATCGCCGCCGAGCTGCCGCAATTCGTGAGGGACCCTGCAGCGTTCGAGCGGCTGTGCAGTCAGCCTAACATGACATTCGAATGCAAGCACAGCGGCATGCAGATGGTGTATGTGCCCGTGTACAAGTATCAGGACGTGAACAAACGGCTTGACCAGGATGAACAGATCCGTGAGACCAGCGGCGAGGCCAAACTCAAGAAGTCCAAGCCTCAGAGGGCGCCCAGGGATCCCAAGAGTGATGCACCTAAGCCGATGCCCGAAGCCCTCAAGAAAAAGGTCGACAAGGCTGTCCAAGAGATCGACGCTTGGCTCCACGCGGCGGCTGGCCCGCTCATGCACGCGAAAGTCGACAGTGACAACTCGTACGTGCCCGCCCACCTCGTCACCAAGGTCGAGTCTATTGGCACCGAGCTCGAGGAGATGAAGGGCAAATTCAATGAGGCGGTGGATCAGAAGATGGAGAGGGGCCACGTGCTGAACTTGTTCGAGCAGTCCAAGCTGATCGGCAGTCGCCACCAGGACGTCGTGGCCAAAATCGAAGGCCCCTCTTGGGGGGGGGAGGAGGAGGAAGAGGGAGGTGGGGGATAAGGAGGGAGGAGGAGGAGGAGGAGGAGGAGGAGGAGGAGGAGGAAGAGAGAGAAGGAGGAGGAGGAGGAGGAGGAGGAGGAGGAGGAGGAGGAGGAGGAGGGAGAGGGAGAAGGGGGGGAGGAGGAGGAGGAGTAGGAGGAGGAGGAGGAAAAGGAGGAGGAGGAGGAGGAGGAGGAGGAGGAGGAGGAGGAGGGGGAGCCAGGCATGGTCGATGAGATGCCCGAGCACATGCGCCCGAAGGCCGAGCCTGCCACGGACGGCGAGGGGGCCGAGGCCGCCGACCTGCAGGCAGACGCTGGCGGCGCCGAGGACTGGCAGGGTTCACATGCATAACTTAAACCATGCATCGGGGTTCCTCGGGCCCAAATACAGTTGGAACATAATTGAAATAGCATTGAAAACCTCAGGATGAGAACGCCCCTGGAGACCTGAGCCCCTGTTCGCACGGGACCCTTTCGGATGCACTTCTGGACGTGTGCTAGATTTCTGGAGGAGCAGACGGGAACGAAGCGCAGGAGGCGCGAGAAGTCGAGCCCTGCCGCCGCTGGTGTAAGGAAGCGCCCAGCTGCAACTAGTGGGTCTGTTACAGGGGCTTAGGCAGTGGCCCTCTTGCTCTTGGGCGGCCTTCTAGGCAGTCTCCCTCTTACTCTCCCTCCCTCAGGCCTCACGATCATGGACTCTTACTCCCCCTCCCTCAGGCTTCACGACCAGGGGCCCTCACTCTCCCTCATACTCTCCCTTCGCGATCTTACGCGGCCTTCTATGCAGTCTCCCTCGTACTCTCCCTCCCTCAGGCCTCGCGATCATGGACTCTTACTCCCCCCCCCCTCAGGCTTCGCGACCAGGGGCTCTCTCTCTCCCTCTTACTCTCCATCTTACTCTCCCTCCCTCAGGCTCCCTCTAGGCAGCATCCCTGCTCTCGTGGACTCACGATCTCCCATTTCTGAGTGGCAGCGAGCAAGCTTGGCAACGACTCGTGGCATGCAACTTGCGGGCACACTTAAAGGGAAGTGTCCACCGTCGGCTGACGGCCGCAGTGCGCGTGTAGGTTTGACATCGGGGAGAGATTCAACGCTTGCGGAGTGGCACGCTTGCTCATTGTCGCAACTCTCCTCAATCTCCCTCGCCGTCATCTCCCCTGTCGCGTGCTGACCCTCCCCCCCTTAACCCGCCCCCTCCCTCCTCCTCGCACCGCCCGTCGAGGGGCATCCCGCGAGGTATCCCGCGCATCCCGCGTGAGAGCCTCGATCAGGGAACACGCGGGATACCCTGATAATTCTCGTGGCACCCCGCGAGATATGGCGTCATCCCCGCAGGTATCCCGCAAGGTATCCCACGTATCCCGCGTGATTTGTTGCGCGGGGCGCGCGGTGGGCAAGGGGTCGGAGTCGCGGCGCAGCAGGGGTGGGGGGCGGACCATGAAGAAACGGAACGAGGGGGCACCCGAGAGGAGGAGGGTGGATGGGGGCGTGGAGGTAGTGGCGGAGGGGCCGAGCGCCCACCACCAGGCAGGGTGGCTCGCCAGGTCGTGGAGGAGGGAGAGGGCGAAGGCATGATAACATTTGAGGAAGAGTGCAAATGCCAAAGCTTACCTCTCTCCCCCACAACGCTTCCCCCTGCCCCGCAGGTCCTGCAGATGAACGAGGGCACGGTGGCGACGCGTGCCTCGCAGAGGGCGCGGGGTCCGTTCTCTCCGGTAGACATGGGTGCTGCGGGGTCGTGTTTCACCCGGGCTTCTCCGGTGAATGCAATTATTTTTGCGCTACGGTTCCCTGTTTCTCCGGTGAATCCATGCTTCTTCTGTTTTACCTGCACGGTTCCCCGAGTGCCCCGTTCTCTCCCTCCTCATCTTCTTCCACCCTCCTACTCCAAACCCTCACTGGTCGCACCCCCTCTCTATGTGCACGTTTCCTACAGTGTGAGCGGCGACGCCCGTGGCGGACACGCGCCCTGGCCGCGCGCTCGGCCCCTCGGATTCACCCCGTGGACTGTCCCCTCATCGGACTGAGTGTCCGATGGTGCCACAGGCTTCCGAGCGCCAGCAACATCAACTACTATTATGTATTCCACTGTTGTTGCCCCAACGGTTACGATAGCAAGACGTCCACGACTATGTCTTAACTATAACTTGATGATGTTGAGTTGTTTCTTATGGGCGTCTGGGTTATATCGTAATTATGTATCAAGAGCGCCTGCCTTGTACGATGTACGTATTGTTACGCTTCATTTGCGTTTGGGTTTGCCAGATCAGAAATGTGTTCATTGTGTTTCCATACTGGATTGCCCATTTCTTAATTATGGTTCCATTATGTCTTACGTATGCATGTTCATGTCTAAACTATGCATCACTTATGTCTCAACATGAACGAATACTGGATTGATCATGTTTTAGTACGCTAAAGCATGTATTATGTATGTGTTTTCTTGTGTCTTGGTTATGTACCATATGTGTGTTGGAGTATGCCGTAGCTGTGTGTTAATCATGTTGCAATCAGGAATTGCTTATGTATGTTTAATGTCTTAACTATGTATTGAATATTGTTTAAATGTGCCTTGGCTCTGTAATAATGATGTAATATGTGCTTCAACGTTGTCCTAGTCGTGCCTGGGTTATGTTTTACGTGTCTATTCTTTATGTTGCAGATGTGCCTTAACTATGTCTTATCTATGTCCTGACGGTGTTTATGATTATGCCAAATATGTTTCACTTGTTTCTTATCTGGGCCCCCCCCACCGATTAGGGGGGGCCTCAGGAGCGCGGAAACGGAAAAGGCAATGTTGGTAGGGATCAGCACACGCCCGAATGCTGATCCCTACCAACACGCTGTTTTGCTCTTTTACGGTGTTAATCATTTCTCCACGGTGTTTGAATTCTTTTTTGATTAAAGTTTAACGTTGTCCTCATTATGACATAACTAAATTCAATGAAGCTATTCGTTATGTCTAACTTATGCCTTAATTTTGTTTCCAGAGCGATTCTAGAACGGGTCATCCCACTCTTTGGGGGAGGCCTTAGGAACGCGGAAACGGAAACAAGGCCATTTTGGTAGGGATCAGCACCCGCCCGAGTGTTGATTCCTACCGAAACGCTGATTTGCTCATTTAAAATCTTAATTGTATATCCATGATGTTTATAGCCAACTGATGTTCAACATTGCCCTTGTTATGTCCGAACCAAAGATAATGAAGCTCTTCGCGATGTCGGACCTATGCCTTGAATATGTTTCAAAACTGAGCCTGGAACGGTGCCCGCACCCTTTTAGGGGAGGCCTTAGGAGCGCGGAAACGGAAAAAAAAGCCATTATGGTAGGGATCAGCACCCGCCCGAGTGCTGATCCCTACCAAGACGCTGCGTTGCTCCTCTTAAGGCTTTAATTGTATATCCATGCCGTTTAAATTATGTCTTAATTAAACTTTAATGTTGTCCTTATTATGTCCTAGCTAAATTACATGAAACTCTTCACTCTATCTATAAGTATGTTCCAGGACCAACCTAGGACGGAATAGGCTAATTACATGTCCATAAGTATGTTCCAAGACCGAACCTAGAACGGGCCCCCCACCCTTTGGGGGGGAGGCCTTAGGAACGCGGAAACGGAAACAATGCCATGTCGGTAGGGATCCGCACCCGCCCGAGTGCTGATCCCTGCCAAAAACGTTGGCTTGCTTCTTTTAAAGTCTTAATTACATACCCATGATGTTTATATTCTGTCTTAATTAAGGTTTAGCGTTGTCCTTATTATGTCCTAAATCCCACGAAGCTTTTCATAATGTCTAACTTATGCCTTACTTATGTTTCGGGAACGATTCTAGAACGGGCACCCCGCCCATTGGGGGGGGCTGTAGGAGCGCGGAAACGGAAAAGGCCATGTTGGTAGGGATCCGCACCCGTTCGAGTGTTGATCCCTACCAAAATGTTGTTTTGCTCCTTCATTTTTTTTAGTATATCACCCTGATGTTTAAATTCTGTTTCAACCAGGCATCCGTTGTTGTAGTGCGGTGTATATCGATATGGCTGCCCATGCATTCCATATGGAAAAACATATAAGCTTCACAGAGAAACGCAATAACAAAAAACTGCAACACTGCATTTTTTGTCGTGCCAATTTTCTTATGCAATATATATTTTGCCATATGGAACGCATAGGCAGCCATGCCGCTAGGAACCGCACTTGGACAACTTGTTTGCCTTTTTTGAAGGGTTTGATTAAATGTCCATGACGTTGTCTGTAACATTGCCATAATTATGCCCTAACTAAAGTTATTCGTATTTAACATTGTATTTAACATTGTCATTATTATGCCCGATCTAAGAGTTAATGAGGCACGTATCGCGCGTTAGTGTCCGAATTAAATGTTATGTCTTAAGTATGCGTCTTGTGTGTTGAATCATATCGCAACCATGTCTCAGTTAAGTACTAAGAGGGTCGGATATCACGACTGCGACTGCTGATGCTCTTACTACTACCAGGGCCCGTACTCCTAGAATTCATATATCTACGCCGAGGACTATTCCTGTTCCAGTTTCCAGTGCTACTGCATGCTTCTCTGTTTGGGGCCCACGTCAGAAGCGACGGTTCCCTCAATGTCTTCGCTCCGCTGTTTGGGGCCCACGTCAGAAGCGATGGTCCCCTCAGTGCCACGGTTCAAAACCTCGCGCGCCCCTGCCCCCATCGCCTCGCGCGCCCCCCTCGGGCCACGCCTCGGGCCACGCCCATGGAGCCTACGCAACAGGGCGGATCGCGCCCCGAGCAGCCGCCACGCGAGACGATTCCGCAGACGCCTATAGACTTGTTGATGGATCAGGCGGAGCGGGAAGTCAAGAGTCGGCGGTGGAAGGGAGAGAAAGAGAGAGAGAGAGAGGGAATTGGGGGGGGAGGAGGGTGGGCGAGGGAGGTTCAGAGCGGTGGGAAGGGGAAGGAGGAGGAGGAGGA